AATAATAATTGTCATTTAGTGACAAGTACAAGATGGAAATGTTTTCAGCTTACTTTGATCATTTAATCTTCTTGAATATATCTGTCATTGAAATAATTAATAAATAATGACAATTATGTAAAAGTTTACGTCATTTGTTACGGCATCCAAATGTAACTGTCATTTCAAAAACACCTGTCAATTAATAAAAATATTAACTTATGTCCAAAATCCAAAAGTCAAACTGACATTTTAAAAACAACTGTCAATTAATAAAAAAAAACTACAATCGAAATGTTTCTGACTTGAATTAATTATTTGAAAATATTTGTCTCAAGAAATAATAAACCAAAAAACACAAGTATCAAAACGTTTAGGTGATTTGTTATGTAATCCAAAAATAACTGTCATTTTAATAATAATAATTGTCATTTAGTGAAAAATAACAAGATGTTAAACATTAGCTTACTTTGATTATTTAATCTATTCGAATATATTTGTTATAGAAATAATTACTAGAAACTGACAAGTATGTAAAATATTAACTTATGTCATCCAAAAGTCAAACTGACATTTCAAAAACAACTGTCAATTAATAAAAAAAACTACAATCGAAATGTTTCTGACTTGAATTAATTATTTGAAAATATCAAAACGTAGTAAAACAAGTATCAAAACGTTTACATGATTTGTTATGTCATCCAAAAATAACTGTCATTTTAATAATAATAATAATTGTCATTTAGTGAAAAAGTACAAGATTGAAATGTTTTCAGCTTACTTTGAACAAAACTTGTCACTTTTTATTAATTATTAATAAAAAGTGACAAGTTTTGTTGTGTCATCCAAAAGTCAAACTGTCATTAAAAAAAAAGTGTCAATTAACAAAAATCACCACCACTGAATCGTTTCGTACGTAAACTAATTATTTGAAAATATTTGTTTCAAGAAATAAGTAATAAACAAAAAAACAAAAGTATCGAAACGTTTACATGATTTGTTATGCCATCCAAAAATAACTGTCATTTTAATAATAAATGTCATTTAATAAAAATTATGGCTTGGATTTGATCATAGCTATTAACTTTGCGAGCCCTTCCATTATTTCTCGCCTCTCTTTGATACAAAAAAATAAATAAATAAAAATAAGCAATTTGTGTGAGAAAGATCGGTTTTGGAAAGGCGCGCACGAAGGATAAACCGTTCAGGGAGAGGCCTTTAACGAGCGCTCTCCGTAATCACGCTTTTCTGACGTTGAATGCTTAATTGACGCGCTTAGAACTTCTCTCCGGATTAATTTAATTCAATATTTAGCCTGCGGGATTACACTATGTTAGGCATTTTATATAGGCGGAATCTGGGTTACCGTCGCAGCAAATCCCGTCAGGAGGATTAATACGAGAGTGAAAAAGGTGATTCGACTCGACTCGACTCGACTCGAAGACAAAACAGCATCAGCAGCAGCAGCACCAACCAAAAACTCACTTTCCAAATCGTTCCACCTTTGATGTTACCATTTACATTGCCTTCCACTCTGACCCAGAGAAAGGGTCCCAGTTGCCATAGCAACACAACAAATGAGACTACACCTTCTTGGTTTTAATTAAACCTTAGCAGTTCTTAGAAGGAATAAAGAGTATATTTGACTCCAGATGCAGATCCTTGTTTTTTTTTAAATTTCATTTGCATATACGAAAACATAAAATAAAAATATAAAATAGAAAATAAGAAACGATGCGAAGGAGTTCATTCTCGCGAGACTCCTTTTGTACGTTATTTAATAATGCGATATTCTTGTACGAGGCGAAGACGTGAGTGGAATGCCCCGCCATTCATATTCCGTCTTTGAAACAAGGTCTTTGAAATTCAAGAGCAAAATTTCCAGATGCGCTCTCTTTCTATTTAGAAAAATTGCTTTATCTCTGTAATTAATTAACATTATGTAAAAGTTAATTAATAGAAGACATAATCATAATAAATATTCAAGTTTTATAATTTTTGCAAATTAAAAAAAATATATATATTAGACATTTTCGAGAAATTAAAAAGATTCTTCTCAAGTTCGAAAATGTATTACATTAAATCATGAATTGCCATCAATTTATGTGTTTATGGAGTAATGGGATAAAATGTGAAGATGTAATCGAAATTGAAAAATTGATATACCCGATTCGTCGCAAATCGAATCGGCGTAAAATGAACCATTATTTACAGTGAGGTAACTATAGGTTTTAGTTCTATATAAGTGTAAAATCAGCAATTAATAAGCGTTATTGTGAATCGGCATAAATGTCAATTTAACATTACATAAAGATAATTTAAGCAAAAGATGCACAATAAAGTTCGTTTCTGGACATAATTAATAAACTTTATAGCTCAACTTGTACATGCATTAATTATATACATTTTGTTGCTAGTACAGAGAAAAACACAGAAAACTGTAACGAATTTACGTAACGGCTATCAATAAAATACTTAAATTAAACGGTTACAGATTCGTTGCGTAACGGCACGCACTAAATATGCGAGATAGTATTTGCAATTTTCACCCGTTTCTGCATATTTTCCAGATAGCATTTGCATAGCGAAATTACAAAATTGTATCTCGATATTAAACGTGTGGTGATCATTAACATTTTCTTCTCAGCCTGAGAAACGTTTCTACCGCTTACCGTTAACTAACTGAAACTCGATTTTCCTGTAATTACATAATCTAAATTAAAAATCGTTATTTTCTATTAATTCCTCCGTACATATATTACATATTGTAATTACTTCTAATTTACATGTAAATTTCTAGTAGTTCAGTGACAATAATTTAGCTTATTTAATTAACTGTACTTCTGCATGTTACGTGACAAATATAATAGTTAAATTATTACAATTGAATTATCATTAGTTCTTATTTAGAAACATGTGAGTTTTTGCAGTTTTTTTAACTTTTTATTTTTATTATTTGCCAAGTATTTTATTTATTACAACTGAAATACAAACTTACATTCTTTTTCAAATATTATTAGGCAATGTGTGTTTTTACTGTTTATTGTTATCTCATATTGATTGAACAATATTTGCACAAGTTACTTGCCAAGTACTTTACTTATTGCAACTGAAATACGAACTTACATTCTTTTTTAAATATTATTAGGGAACGTGTGTTGTTACTGTTTATTGTCATCTCATATTGATTGAACAATATCTGCGCAAGTTACTTGCCAAGTAGTTTATTTATTGCAACTGAAATACAAACTTACATTCTTTTTAAAATATTATTAGGCAATGTTTGTTTTTACTGTTTATTATCATCTCATATTGATTGAACAATATTTGCACAAGTTACTTGCCAAGTACTTTACTTTTTGCAACTGAAATACAAACTTACATTCTTTTTCAAATATTATTAGCCAATGTGTGTTTTACTTTTTATTGTCATCTCATATTGATTTAACAATATTTCTACATGTTACTTGGCAAGTAGTTTACTAATTGCAACTGAAATACGAACTTACATTCTTTTAAATATTACTAGGTAACGTATGTTTTTGCTGTTTATTGTCATATATTGATTTAACAATATTTGCACAAGTTACTTGCCAAGTAGTTTACTTATTGCAACTGAAATACAAACTTACATTCTTTTAAATATTACTAGGCAACGTATGTTTTTGCTGTTTATTGTCATATATTGATTTAACAATATCTGCACAAGTTACTTGGCAAGTAGTTTACTTTTTGCAACTGAAATATAAACTTACATCCTTTTTAAATATTATTAGGCAATGTGTGTTTTTACTATTTATTGTCATCTCATATTGATTGAACAATATTTGCACAAGTTACTTGGCAAGTACTTTACTTATTGCAACTGAAATACAAACTTACATTCTTTTTCAAATATTATTAGACAATGTGTGTTTTTACTATTTATTGTCATCTCATATTGATTGAACAATATGTGCACAAGTTACTTGCCAAGTAGTTTACTTATTGCAACTGCAATACAAACTTACATTCTTTTTCAAATATTATTAGGCAATGTGTGTTTTTACTGTTTATTGTCATCTTATATTGATTTAACGATATTAGTACAAGTTACTTGCCAAATACTTTACTTAATGCAACTGAAATACAAACTTACATGCTTTTTCAAATATTATTAGGCAATGTGTGTTTTTACTGTTTATTATCATCTCATATTGATTGAACAATATTTGCACAAGTTACTTGCCAAGTACTTTACTTAATGCAACTGAAATACAAACTTACATTCTTTTTCAAATATTATTAGGCAATGTATGTTTTTACTGTTTATTGTCATATCATATTGATTTAACAATAATTGCACATGTTACTTGGCAAGTAGTTTACTTATTGCAACTGTAATACAAACTTACATTATTTTTCAAATATTATTAGGCAACGTGTGTTTTTATTGTTTATTGTCATCTCATATTGACAATATTTGTACAAGTTACTTGACAAGTAGTTTACTTGTTGCAACTAAATACAAACTTACATTCTTTTTAAATATTACCAGGCAACGTATATTTTTACTGTTCATTGTCATCTCATATTGATTTAACAATATTTCTACATGTTACTTGGCAAGTAGTTTACTTATTGCAACTGAAATATAAACTTACATCCTTTTTAAATATTATTAGGCAACGAGTGTTTTTACTGTTTATTATCATCTCATATTGATTTAACGATATTTCTACATGTTACTTGGCAAGTAGTTTACTTATTGCAACTGAAATACGAATTTTTTACTAAGGTTTTTTTCCAATTTACTAAATATTTATATGATAATATTGTCACAAGTTACTTGGCAAGTACTTTACTTAAAATATACAACAACGTGTGGTTTTGTAGTGTTCTACTCATTTCGTCTCTTATTCATATGACATTACTTATACAAGTTACTTGGCAAGTAGCTTAATTACTACTCAGATGCCAATTTACCTATATGTTGCTACATAACCTATATTTTAAACCCTACAACGTTTGTTTCTTTTCAGATTACGGCCAACGTGATTGTATTCATCTGCGTTAACACCGTGGGCATCTTCATGCACAATTTAATGGAGCACGCCCAGAGGAAAGCCTTCCTGGACACGAGGAACTGCATCGCCGCCCGCCTCGAAATGGAAGACGAGAACGAAAAACTGGTAAAGCCCAAAAGCATCCTCTCCCCGTTACATAATTCATAATCCCGGCAACGTTTCCTTTCTGGTTATTTACCCAACCCTGCATATATTTACTACACCATAAAATTATCCATCTCCTCGCTTCGTACCATTACCTCATCCGCAAGCGAAATTACCAAAGTTTTCCCTTATTATTTTATATATATATTATGCATTTAACTACCCTCAACTTTCCGCACAACTATTCATAGTCAACACATGCAAAGCGAAATTAAAATACAGCCGCAACATTTTTCAGTTCATTAATTCACAGAATTTTATTTTTCATCATACTTTACGTTTTTTTTTTTCTTTTCGCAGGAGAGGCTGTTGCTGTCTGTACTGCCTCAACACGTCGCCATGGAAATGAAAAACGACATTATATCACCGGTAGAGGGACAGTTCCATAAAATTTACATACAGAAACACGAGAATGTCAGGTGAGTTTAACACAGTTCAACTTAATAATTTAAACCCACTGTATATATTTACTTTAGAAATTACTGAAATGAAATAAAAACAACATTTTTTTTCGTTTATTTCGTGACCTTTTGCACTTAATATGGGTATTAACTTCTGTACAATTGATTTTTTTTCGCAAGTCTGGAGAAAAATTCAATTTATTTTCAACTTTTCTCGTTTTTTTTGGACTACAATCTCGAAATTAAAACCAGATTTTTCTCATGGTATAAACTTCCGGATTTTCGTTATCAGCGAACGTTCAAACGCAGCCCTGTTTAATCCCTTAGAAAGATTAACGTAAAAAAAAAATCTAACAGGAAAAGCGCACGAAAAGAGATAAGCGTTTCGTATTGATTTCATATTTGTGTCATATAAACGAAACGTAATCAATTACTCTAAAATATATATAATTTTGTTGCTAATTATCTGATTTTGAATTATTTTATTTACAAATTTTTATTGGATTATCTTTTTGGTTATAGACCGAAGTTATTCTGTAACATATATTGTTAGTACTTATCTGTTAACTCAAATTTAACGCTTTGGGACGGAGGGCGTATATATCCGCCCTATTTTTTTTACTTAGTAAATTTTACAAAGCCAGTGTGCAGTCATCGAATATTAGTTCTAAACTAGTTTTTTTCAGACAGTTTTGCGAAAAATCTTTACCCTAATTATCTGATTTTAAATTATTTTATTTACAATTTTTTATTGGATTATCTTTTTTGTTATAGAGCGAAGTTATTCTGTAACGTATATTGTTAATACTTTTCTATTAACTCAAATGTAACGCTTTGGGACGGAGGGCGTATAAATCCGCCCTATCCTTTACTTAGTAAATATTACAAAGCCAGTGTGCAGTCATCGAATCTTAGTCTTTTTCAGACAGTTTTGTGAAAAATCTTCATCCGCGAAGAGTTAAAATTATTAAATGATATTAAATTCTCTTGATTAACTTTGCTGAATGTGTAATCAAGAAGTTGTAAACTTCTGTAGAAAATGAGGTCGTTAGACCCGGTTTTCTGTAACTCATGTTTGATGTAATTACACTTAATGCTCTCCAGTGGAAACATTTTCGGATCGATAAGCATTTGTATCAAAGCACAAACCCGCGAAAGTTGTTTTTTTTTTGCTTCATTTAATTCTCTCCGTTGAAGAAACAACATTCGCGACATTTAATTGCATTTCAGGATTAGCAGCTTTTAATTACGTAGTCTTTCTCGTCCCATCTGTGCGAGTAGTAAAGTTTAATTGCTTCGACAATGAAGACATTTATTACCATCAAAGTGTAAATATTTACACACGAAATTTTTTTAAAACTTACGCATCAGATAAATTTATTTCAATTTGCAACACCATCTGCTTGTTCCAGTATATTATTTGCGGATATCGTCGGATTTACTGTTCTCGCCTCCCAATGCACAGCCCAGGAACTGGTGCGACTTCTGAACGAGCTTTTTGGTAGATTTGATCAACTTGCAAACGTAAGTATTTCTCTACAAATTGTATTTTATTATTCATGTAATAGATCAGGTCTATAGAGTTTTCTCCCAAAGTTTAGTATAAACTTAATATTATTAACACTTAACACTTTAAAATATTGAATGATTTTGTTGTTAAACTTTATTTTATAAAGTATTGTTTGATGTTGCTCACAATTACGTGTTTTCTTTCTTTCCTCGAAGTTTTCGAGCTTTTAAAGGTTGATTTGTTATAAAAAAAAAAGTGAAGTGAACAAACGTGTTCGATTTGAAACAAAGCTAGTCACGTCTTCGTTCAAATATTTACTTATTTATAAAATTGAATCGGATATTTCTTATATAACAAGAATTGCGCAAATAAATAAAACGCTTTGACCCAAAGCGAGACGTGAACGAAACGATAGAAATAAATATCGGATAAATAAAATGCGCGTTTTATATATGGGGAAAAATTCGATTTATCTCTTTGCGCGCGTTTTACTAAAGCCCAAATTGGACCACTTCAATTCCATTCAATACATTTTTTTTTCAATAATTCCATTATAAAAATATATATATGTTTTGCAAACATTTTTACGTAAAGCTTAATGTTACAAAACAGTTTTTACAGCTGCATGAAAAAAATGTGTTCCATTATGTATGTGTGTTTTTTTATTTCAATGAAAGCTTTTGATGTGGGAATGGTAATAATTTTTTTAAGCGAAGTGTAATTTCGTCGTGTTTCGGTTTATATCTAACTACAATAATAGCTGAAGAGTGTTGTGTATGTTTTTATGAAAGAAAACAGCATTACATAATTCAGACCGCATTTCCCTTTTGGGCCCTTATCTATTGTGCTATGAGTGTTTGCTTAAAAGCCCCATATTTGTACGGTGACGTGCGTATTTATTCGGTCAACCAAAGCCTAATACCTACCAAATATTGAACCAATTATTCCTATTTTCAACGTAAACATTTTTATTGATATGATTTTTTTTTCGGATGTTTAAATATGACGATAATATCATTAAATGTTATGTTATACTAATGTTTTTGTATTAACTACTATTTATGGGTCAAAATGACCCGTCTATTCTTATAATTTAACATTATTAAAAACTGAATAAATTTTATTGATCAAAACAGTCTGGACAATATTTTTTGAGCAAGGATCAAGGAATCATTTATTTTCAATTGCATAACTATTGTATTTTCCATTTCCCATTGGTTTACCTTTAAATTATAAAAATATTGAACAAATTATAATTCGTTTTTCATTGTTTTTTAGTTTATTTTATTGTTTAATTTTAATTCGACAATATTTTTTCGTTAATTTTCAATGAATTATTTTTAATAACATCACATAGTTTTTGCATTCTATTTGTATTTGTTTTATAGAAATTAATTGGATTTTTTTTTATGCACGATCGCAATGATTTCACGTGCGTTTGCGTTACGTTACGTTGACAATGATTTGTTTGAACGACAAAAGAAGCTTTGCGAATGGCATGTTCAATGGATCGAAAACGCATGCAAAACCAACCCCCCATCATCATCATCATAATCGAACTGGCAGAAAGAAAATTCTGCGGTTGGAGTTGGATGGAATTCTGATCCGATTGATTTTGTTGTATTGTATAGAGAAAGAAACGTAGGTCGTTCTGAAACAATGACGATTCGATTTTGTATAGAGTTTTACGAGCGAAAATATTTCGAAGAGTGAGTTAATTGAATTTCATGCTACCTTCACACGACGAATGAATATGTTGCATTCAATTTCGATTGTCGCGGAAATCCATCATTGTTGTGTCAATCAATTAATTAAGTAAATTAAAGATATCTACTGAATACATAACTTGAATATATTTAACTACAATTACTTTGTTATTAATGACGTTTAAAACGTACTTTGTTATTATTGAGTAAAAAACAATCAATTTCGTTAATTTTTACCCCATTTAATATAGATCTTTCGATCATTTCATAATTATTCTTTACTATATCAAAAAATTACTTTATAGTCAGTTTAAAATGTCACTGTGACTGTACATTATTATCTACTTAATACTTTATTACTTTGTAATCCGGTAAAAATTAACAAAATCAATCATATTTTTACTCAATGACGTTTGATTTTGACATTTTAAACGCCATTAGTTATAATGCAAAATCGTTAATTTTTACCCCATTTAGTATAGATATTTCAATAATTTCATAATTACAAATTATTAATAAATACTTTTTCAATAAATTACTTTATAGTAATATCAGTATAACTGTGTATTATAATATCTACTAAATACATTATTTGAAAATAATTTTAATTAATTACTTTGTCATTAATGACGTTTAAAATGTCAAAACGAAACGTCATTGAGTAAAAATCAATTAATTTCGTTAATTTTTAACGTATTTAGTATAATCATTTCATAATTATTAATTATTTTTTATTACTTTTTCAATAAATTACTTTATAATAATATCAGTGTGACTGTACAATGTTATATCTACTGAATACATTATTTGTTTTTATTTACATAAATTTATTTTTCATTAGTGACGTTTAAAATGTCAAAACTAAACGTCAATGGGTAAAAATCAATCATTTTCGTTAATTTTTATTGAATTTATTATAGATCTTTCAATCATTTCATAATTATTAATTATTTTTTATTATTTTCAATAAATTACTTTATAGTAATATCAGTGTGACTGTACAATGTTATATCTACTGAATATATTATTTGAAAATATTTTTAATTAATTACTTTGTCATTAATGACGTTTAAAATGTCAAAACCAAACGTCATTGAGTAAAAATCAATCATTTTCGTTAATTTTTATTGAATTTATTATAGATCTTTCAATCATTTCATAATTATTTTTTATTACACTTTCAATAAATTACTTTATAGTAATGTCAGTGTGACTGTACATTATATCTACTGAATACATTATTTGTTTATATTTAAATAAATTTATTTGTCATTAGTGACGTTTAAAATGTCAAAACTAAACGTCAATGAGTAAAAATCAATCAATTTCGTTAATTTTTACCGCATTTATTATAGATCTTTCAATCATTTCATAATTATTAATTATTTTTGATTACACTTTCAATAAATTACTTTATAGTAATGTCAGTGTGACTGTACATTATATCTACTGAAAAAAATATTTGTTTTTATTTAAATAAATTTATTTGTCATTAATGACGTTTTAAATGTCAAAACCAAACGTCAATGAGTAAAAATCAAGAAGTTTCTTTATTTTTTACCCTATTTAGTATTGATGTTTCAATCATTTCAATCATTAATTACTTTTGTCTTTGAAAAATGTCTTCTACAGCTAAAAGAGAAATCCTCCAAATGACAAATGGAAGAATTCATACTATTGACAGATGACCTTCAAAACAATCACAACGCTATCTCTTTATGAAAACCGAAATTACTTTCTTGCCAAACCATTATTTTCTTCTTTAATAAGTTAATCTAACTAGACGTTATTTTGGAGCATGTTCTTTAAGAAGATATGGAACTTTGATGTTAACAATTATAACAGAATAAGACGTCGAATAAAAGAAGTTCTCGATGTCTAAGCTAATTCACTATTGTCGATCTTCAACAGGATAATCACTGTTTGCGGATCAAGATCCTCGGGGACTGCTACTACTGCGTTTCCGGGCTGCCGGAGCCGAGATCGGATCATGCCCATTGCACCGTAGAAATGGGCCTGGACATGATCGATGCGATCGCGAGCGTCGTGGAAGCCACCGATGTCCAGCTGAACATGAGGGTGGGAATACATTCGGGACGAGTGCTGTGCGGTGTCCTGGGGCTCAGGAAGTGGCAGTACGACGTCTGGTCCAACGATGTCACCTTGGCCAACAACATGGAAGCCGGTGGTGAACCAGGGTAAGAACATTTGAATCCAATGTAAAGGATTAACAGTCTACTTGTTGTCGAAATCGAAATCCCGACAGTATCAAAATCTTACATGTTTGTGACGTTTCCACTGTTTCTGCGGTTTCAGGAGGGTGCACATCACCCAGGCCACCCTCGATTATTTGGGAGGCGAATACGAGGTGGATGCAGGAATGGGTGCGAGCAGGAACCAATACCTGCGCGACCATTGCGTAACCACTTATTTCATTGTGCCGCCGCCGCGACGCAGAAAGGTATTTAACACTAATTCCACGTTTAACTTACAAAACCAGGGAACTAACCGCCAGAGCTTAAAACACGTCTATTGCAGAAGTTGATGAGAGTTTGCGATGCGCAAAAAGCAAAGGGAATGTTTGAGTGCATGCAAGATGTTTCCGAAATTGCTTATTCTTTAAGAAAACGTGCGTTAAACTTATTGGTTCGAAGAGCTCATTTTAAATCTGAGAGCCCTAGAAAAGCTGTCAATTCCCTTCGTGTTTTTTTCCCTTTTCCTTTTGTCAACTTCTTCGTTTTGAAGGATCTAATCTCCGCAAGAGATTGGATTACTGCCGCAGCATGAGCGGTCGGTGAAAGCCCTTTCGACTTTGGATGCAGATTTCACTTTGATTTGTGTGCCGACGGCCACTTCAATATTAGAAAGCCGCAGCACTTCATTTACAAAATACACCAACATTATATACTTGAAACCAAATTTATCTTGCAAAAACAAATCCATTAAATCATTCATAGCAATTTACTGTAATTTACAAGACATTAATTTTGAAAAATCTAGTTTAATACAATCTTTTTTTATTAGTAAGAAAGGAAACGTTTTGCATGCACTCATTAATTCTTCTCATTTAGAAATTTTATTAAACTAAGATTACATTAAAATCAAAATAACCGGATATGCGTTCCCTTTTTTCTTGTCCATCCAAATTCAAGGATTTTCTTTCGATAATTGCCAATTACTGTTGCATAACGTTTATTTGGCTTCGATCCAATCGCGTCCGTTCCCAAATTACAACGGGAAAACCAAATGAAACGGACGATATACATTAATTACATCGAGAATTTGATTGATTCAATCAAATTAATTATTTTTAGCTCTTGTTTGTTTGTTTGTTTTTTTTTTATTATTGTTATATGTTGTGATGTGATGTCGCTTCTCCGTTCCTCTTCGATGTTTACCTTTTGTTGTTTTTGTTTGTTTCAACTGTTTGGATGTGTTTTTGTTTCCGATTGTTTGTTTGTCGTTTACAGATGTGTAATTTACAAAAAAAAAAATTGATCATTCGATACTCTCATACTTTAACACAGTTTAAGAAAATTAACAAAATCGTTTCATTTTTCATTATATTTTTTCTGTTTGGTAAAACATAGTGCAAATATCATATTGTTGTTTGTTTTGTATTGTTTTTTTTTTGAAGCATTTCGATATATAAATCAAAATTTATTTCCACAGTTACGAAATAATAATTATTTGGCTCATCGGGTATACTTCTGTAGCCAATGCGATGTTAAATTTTTAAGTGCATCATAAAAATATTTATAATTTTTGTAAATTTAAGACTTTTTAAACATTGTAGTTTTTATCCATAATATTTGTAGTTTTTTTTTTCAATATTATTTGTAGTTTTACTGATAATTTGCTTCAAAAGCTTAATTATTTCTAAATTGAACAATTAAATAAATATCAATTATTTATAGCTTTCAATTATAATAAATAAATTGCAAAACATAAAAATTAAATTAAAAAATATGTTAAGATTTTTAACTGAATTGAATACTTCTTAATATTCTTCAATAATTTGTTCTTAAGCATATAAAATGAATTAATATTAATAATCGGATCATTTTGACCCATACTGGTTAAGTTTAATTAATTTATATATTAATATTTACGTAAATTAATTAAACTTAATCCAAATGGGTCAAAATGACCCGATAATTACATATTAATATAATTGAACAATTGTTTACAACAAACACAGATTAGTTCTTATTATTTAATGAATTTAAGATCATTTACAACTGATTTTATTGCTCAAAACAGTCAAATTAGAACAATCAAATTACAATAGAATACGAATGAGAACAAACATCAGGTGGGTCAATCTGACCCATCCGTAGTACTTAAGGGTTAAATATAATTTCATAATTTAGTTGCTGTATCATTTTTTTTTTATTTTTCTTAATAATTTGCAACAAGTTTAACAAGTCTTAAATAAATGAATATATCCGAATGCTTACACTTGATGATGCCACATAGAAAAAGATAAATACTCTAATGAATATACATATTTTTTGTTACTTTTCAATGATTTTTCTATAACGTTTCAAAAATTAACTTTTGTTAGAATCACAAATTTAAAAAAATACTCATACCAAAGTGTGTTAACAATTGTATTTTACTTGAAAGAAAACAAATGCATTAAATAATTATTTATTTATAAAACTCGAAGTTTACTCTATTAGAAATATACATAAAAGTTAATTTTTCTATTACATTTTTCAAATTAATTAATTATTTATTTATTCATAAAACTTTCAACAAGTAAAAGTAGAATTTTTTATTATATCTTTTCAATTTAACAAATTTTCAACATACTTTGTTAATTTCACAATTTTTATTGTATACATGCGAAAGTTATTTTTTCTATTATATTTTCAAATCAAATAATTGTTTATTAGTAACATTTACAACAATAGAATTAATTAAAAGTACAATTTTATTTTTTTTTCAATTACAATTTTTTTTAATTTACTTTATAAAACAGTTAGCTTTTAGATCAGCAGACCAAACAGTAAAGTTTATTATTAATTCGCGTTTTGTAACTTAGATTTAACAAAAATTCTAATGTATCCATTTTTTAGCAAGAATCTTGAGTTATTTCATTATATAATATTTGTGGAAACAAAGACTTGGTAATTTTATATTTGCATTTTTTGTATTACAATGTGTATTCTATTTGTTTCAATTAGTTTGTAGTATTTATCTGTTTCTATGTTGGCATCATCTCCTTTTCGATCTCTGATTACCAGTATCTTCATTCTATGTATGAATATGTAATTTGCACACGCACGTAAATTGGGATCGTGTAGTATTTTGGTAGTGCTCATGATCTTCACTATACGCACGTACCTTCCGTATCCCCTTTTTTGTGACTAACCTGCATACCCCGGCCTTCCCCGGCGGATCTCTTCCAGCCACTGTTGTTCAACACGCTGCAGGTTCGATCGGCCCTCGGCGCGGCACAGAGGAGGAAGCTGAGCTTCAAGAACGTCTCCAACGTGGTCGTACAACTGCTCCACTCCATCAAGTACTCAATGGAGGTTCCATTCAGCAACATGGCTCTACAACCGAACGACATCAAAAACTCGAACGCTCGAAAGGTAAGACACTCAATTTGATTTTACTACAACAACTCATTTCATTCATCAAATCCATCGTATTCAGGATAAAGAAAAAAACGTAGAGTAAATGGAAGTTAATTTGCGAATGGTCAAAAGTATAAAAAGATGATATTAATAGTTTTTTGGCTGCGCGAAGACAAATTTGAAACATTCATTCTTCTACAGTTATTAATTACTTACTATATTTCTTTTATTGGACTATGAATTATAACAGAAATAGTTAAGTTAATAATTATTTTCGGTTTTAAAAAATAGATTGAAGGACTTCTGTCAATGTGTTTTCCTTTTGTCATTTGAAAGATGTCACTTTTAGCTTTAGCTATCAATTTAGTGAGATTACAAAAGGTGTTGGGTATAATTTGAGCCAAAACGATCAATTCAGATGTTTACTATCAAAAACTAATGAATCTAGAGGTAGCAATCAAAGAAAATGGACAAAATCATGTTCCACCAAAACTATGCAAATCCTCACAAATCTTTGGTAACTTGTGGAAAATTATTGGAGCACCATCAGATTACCATTTATTTCGAAGTTTGCAAAACTCTTCGAATGGTAAAACCTTGATGACCTAAAATCGCACTTGATTCAGATTTTTGCTGATAAAGACCAGAAGTTTTATAAGGACGAAATCATGAAGTTGTCAGAAAGATGGCAAAAAGTCATCGGACAAAATGGAATGGAATATATTAAAGCTCATTCTTTGTATACAAAAAAGAGTTTATTTCACACTAAAAAACTATAATTTCTTTATACTTTCTAATGAAATCATTCTTCTACAGATATTAATTACTTACTATAGTGCTTCTATTTGACAATGAATTATAACAGAAAGAGCTCGTAATAGTTATTTTCTGTTTTATAAAATAGATGGCGTTACGTTTATTATGAAGGACTTCTGTCATAGTTTTTTTCTTTTGTCATTTGAAAGATGTCACTTTTAGCTTTATCTATCAATTTAGTGAGATTTCAAAGGTATTGTGTATAATTTGAGCTAAAACGATCAATTCAGATGTTTACTGTCAACAACTAATGAATCTAGAGGTAGCAATCAAAGAAAATGGCCAAAATAATGTTCCACCAAAACTATGCAAATCCTCACAAATCTTTGGTGACTCGTGGAAAATTATTGGAGATTAGTTAGGAAGTAATGTCGCATCCCGCATATAGAATTGACCATCAGATTACCATTTATTTCGAAGTTTATAAAACTCTTCAAATGGTAAAACCTTCACTAAGTATGATGACCTAAAATCGCACTTGATTCAGATTTTTGCTGTTAAAGACCTGAAGTTTTATGAGCACGAAATCATAAAGTTGCCGGAAATATGACAAAAGGTTAAATGGAAAATATATAATGGCTAAATGGAAAATATATAATTGATTAAAGTTCATTCTTTGTATACAAAAAGGAGCATATTTTACACTAAAAAACTGAAATTTCTTTCTACTTTCTAATGAAATTTTCAGTTACAATTATTTACAAAGGTCTTGTGTATAATTTTGAGCCAAAATGTTCAATTTTGATGTTTACTGTCAACAACTAATGAATCTAGAGGTAGCAATCAAAGAAAATGGCCAAAATTATGTTCTACCAAAACTATGCAAATCCTCACAAATCTTTGGTAACTCCTGGAAAATTATTGGAGCTTAGTTAGGAAGTAATGTTCATCCCGCATATAGCCTTGACTATCAGATTACCATTTATTTCGAATAATTATATAAAACGTGAAGAAGGAAGAATTATAGAAAAATCGCCATATCTCAATTAATAATTAAAGTAATGTAACAAATGTTACATGAAAATAAGCGTAATGTTATAATAAAGTTTTTTTTATAGATTTTTAGTAATTTTGTAAATTTAAATGAAGTAGAAATGTTTTTACAAAAAATCGTCAATAATTGGAAGAAATTTGTTACTCAACTTTCACAATTTATTACAAAATAAGAGTAAATAGCACAAACTTTGAAGTAGGTTCATTGGAAACGTTATAGTTTTTTCTTTCATTTGCATATTCAATGATTAAAATAATTTGCGTAATTATCGAATAATTAAATAAAACGTAAAGAAGAAAGAATTATATAAAAATCGCCATATCTAAATTAATAATTAACGTAATGTAACAAATGTTACATGAAAATAAGCGCAATATAAATAAGTTTTTTTTATAAACTTTGATTAATTTTGTATTTTTAGAAATTTAAATAAGGTAGAAATATTTTACAAATCTCTTTAAATGGTAAAACCTTCACTAAGTATGATGACCTAAAATCGCACTTGATTCAGATTTTTGCTGAGAAAGACCAGAAGTTTTATGAGCACTAAATTATGAAGTTGTCAAAAAGATGGCAAAAGGTCATCGGACAAAATGGAAAATATATAATTGATTAAAGTTCATTCTTTGTATACAAAAAAAGAGTTTTATTTTACACTAAAAAACTGAAATTTATTTCTACTTTCTAATTACAATTATTTCAAATTAAACGAAACGACCATTCGCTTATTACTTACCATAAACTCCTTTCCATCAATCTACGTTTCGCATACATTTCTTTAAGAACAATACTTTTATCATTTAATATATATTTATTGTTATTTGTTTTGTTCAGTGCATTGAATATTTTTATGTCTGTGTGATGATGCACTTTCGATGAGCACCGTATTGATACATATGTTTTATTAAATGGTTTAGATTTTTTTTATTTGATGGCACAAATCTACGGAATGTTACGTGAATCTTGTTGTTTCTTTAGTTTGTCAGGTTTTCTTTTATTATATACCACTTTCCTCTCCAAGCACAAATATTACAAGATGCGCCAAGATCCTTCTTACATTATTTTTTTTCAGTCGCAACAAATTTTGTGATCTTACTATAAAATCATATGAATTAAAGCCTTGACAATGAAAACTGGTCAATTATGTGCATCTTTTATGCGAGTTTCTCATAGTTAGAGAAGCAATTTATTAATCATGTACTTTTATGTACGAAACACTTTTTTTTTTGTTTTGTTATATGGAAAATGGAATTTGCTTTATATATATTTCATTATTATACGATATTTACGTAAAATGATGTAATTCTGTTAATATACACTATTTATTTCAAATATATAAAACGTGATCCGTATAAAATCTGTTTCGGATTACTGTGATGATGGATTTTATTTCATAAGTGCTTTTCACTAATGGATTTGGAATGAAAAAAATAGGTTTATTTCATTTATTTTACTATATAAATAATTTTTTTTTTCGAAAATAAAATTGTGAAATATTCAGTTTTGTAGGCTTTATTTGCAAATCTGTTAATGCATTTAAGATTGAAAATTATAATAAATTCGATAATAATTGTAATATACCTCAAATAATTAAATAAAACGTGATGAAGGAAGAATTATAGAAAAATCGCCATATGTCAATTAATAATTCAAATAATGTAACAAATGTTACATGAAAATAAGCGTAATATAATAAAGTTTTTTTATAGAGTTTTAGTAATTTTGTAAATTTAAATGAAGTAGAAATATTTTTACAAAACATCGTCAATAATTGGAAGAAATTTGTTACTCAAGTTTCACAATTGATTAGGAAATTAGAGTAAATACCACAAACTTTGAAGTAGGTTCGTTAAAAAGGTTTATAGTTTTGTTTTTAATTTGCATATTCAATGATCAAAATAGTTTGCGTAGTTATCGAATAATTAAATATAACGTGAAGAAGAAAAAATTGCTATATTTTAATTAATAATTAACGTAATTTAACAATTGTTACATGAAAACAAGTGTAATATAATTGAGTTTTTATAGACTTTGATTAATTTTCTATTTTTGGAAATTTAAAGAAGGTAGAAATATATTTACAAAAAAAAATCGACAATAATTGGAAGAAATTTCTTACTCAACTTTGATAATTTATTACAAAATAAGAGTAAAAACCACAAACTTTGAAGTCGGTTCGTTGAAAATGTCATAGTTTTATCTTTAATTTTCATATACTATGATCAAAATAGTGTGCGTAGTTATAGATTAATTAAATGAAACGTGAAGAAGAAAGAATAAAAGAAAAATTGCAATATTTCAATTAATTATTACCGTAATTTAACAATTGTTACATGAAAAGAAGCGTAATATAATTAAGTTTTTATAGACTTTAAGCAATTTTGTTTTTTTGTAAATTTAAATAAAGTAAAAATATTTTTTACAAAGAATCGTTAATAATTGGAAGAAATTTGTTATTCAACTTTGATAATTATTATAAAATAAAGTTAAATAGTACAAACTTTGCAGTAGGTTCGTTGAAAACGTCATAGTTTTGTCTTTAATTTTCATATTCTATGATAAAATTAGTGTGTGTGGTTATAGAATAATTAAATAAAACGTGAAGAAGAAAAATTTAAAGCAAAATCGCCATATGTCAATGAATCATTAAAGTGATCTAACAAATATTGCACAAAATTTGTTACTCAACTTTGTTAATTTATTACAAAGTAAGGGTAAATACTACAAACTTTGCAGTAGGTTCGTTGGAAACGTTATAGTTTTGTCTTTAATTTGCACATTCTTTCATCTAATTAATATGCGTGATTATCGAGTAATTAAATAAATCACAAAACATCTAAAACTGACCATATTTCAGTAAATAAGAAAAACAATTATAAATTGTTGATATTTTTTTTATTATGTAATTATATCTTATATACAAATCTTTGATATATTTTGTAAAATTAATAAAAAAAATATGAGAATAATTGCAAACAAATATGTTGTTCAAATTTGACAATTTATTACAAGATAAGGGTAAATATCACAAATTTGGAAACGTCATAGTTTTATCTTTAATTTTCATATTCGATGATGTAATTTGTATATGTGGTTATTGAGTAATTAATTAAAACGTGACGATAGTACATATTTAAATTTGACAGCTTATATAACAAGAGTAGGTTAAAGAGAGTAGGCTTTTTGGAAACTTCAAAGTTTTGTGTAAGTTTTTAATAATCGATGATAAAGTTAAGAATTAAAACAAAAGCAATTAACAGATATGTCAAATTTGATATTTTTTTGACACTTTCATATAATGATTAGGTGCCGAAAGTTGCATCTAAAATAAATAATTATGTTATTAAATTAAAGTAATTAAAATATAGTAATTATAATAACATAATTTTACCATAATTAACTACAAAAACACTAAACAAAGAGTATGGTTTTCACCTGGGGACTGGATGGTCAAAGAGGCAATCCCGACGTATGAATTATGCAACCGATGGAAGGTCGTGCCCTCTGGTAACCGCGATTACCAGCAAATTGATGCGAAGCATTTGTTATTCCAAATCCAATTAAAACGGTCGCGTTAATAATGAAATTTCGGCGAAAATTTAAAGCAAATTCCGCATATAACGAATTAAACGTAAACCCTAACTAAGTACATATTCATATAAATATATGTAAATGTTTGATTTAATTTCAATATGCATTGATTACTGTGCACTTTTTGTTTGTTCCCTGGCGAAACGAAACAATGCGCAGCGCAAATTGGAATGAAATTGTTTTCATTGAAAAGCCCCGACGTTTTTGGAATGAAAGCATGAATATTAAATTATGTTTAGTTTTGTGGAATTAATTCCGGTACATTATTTGTATGACCCATTTGCTCTCTCTCTCTCTCACACACAAACCGTGTCTCGCTCATGCACACTCACTTGTTCGCATCGTTCTTTCTCTGCTTAGCGTTTACATAGACGCAGCAGCAAGCAGCACTCGATGTCGTTTCGGTGTTAAACATTTAATATAAGCTTGATCAATCTCTCTCTCACTCACTCTCTTCGTCTTACATCTATCATCTTATGTAACAATAATAGTACACGAGTGTTATGTTGATGTTGTCTGCATGATCGTTGTGTTGTTTTAGGATGTGGTAAGTGTTGTTGACTTCAGTTACAAACTCTACACCATCAAATACCAACCACCACCACCTACTACTACTACTACTGCTGTTACTACTGCAACAACTAAATCAAATTCCAAAAGAAAAGACAACTCTGTGCACACTACTCTCTTCTATATTTCTTGCATATCTCTCTCTCATCCCTAAACTTATCCCTTTAACTTTTAACGATTCCAATGCTCGGGACAGCGAGTAATGAAACCGCCGGAAGGAAGAACTTTTCTTTCCCAGGAAACCGCGACCCATTTTTATTTGATAACTTCCACAAGTTATCCTCTCATCTCAGAAACGTTAAACGAATCCACAGTTTAAGTTCCTTCCGATGTTTCCTTCAGCTATTTCTAAAATAAATAGTTCACCAATCAATCTATTTATAAATATAAATAATTAAAAATAAACACAATTTTTCTCAAACTAATATTAAATTCAATTTTTCGAAAATGTAATTATAAATTAATATTTTCAAATGTACTGATCTTGTTTAAATCTATTTTCAAATCAAAGTAATTCAAGCACCCTTAATTATTAATGCATCACGAAATGACAGCTGTCACCTTGTGTCAAAACGAGAAACTGGTGAAATGATCAGCACAAGTACAAATAAATATGTTGTGTCGCGAAATGACAGATGTCAACTTTTGTCAAAACGAGAAACTGATGAAATGTTCAGCACAACTACAAATAAATATGTTGTGTAGCGAAATGACAGATGTCACCTTGTGTCAAAACGAGAAACTGGTAAAATGCTCAGCACAACTTCAAATAAATATGTTATGTCGCGAAATGACAGCTGTCACCTTGTGTCAAAACGAGAAACTAGTGAAATAATCAGCACAACTTCAAATAAATATGTTGTGTCGCGAAATGACAGATGTCACCTTGTGTCAAATCGAGAAACTGATGAAATGCTCAGCACAACTTCAAATAAATATGTTGTGTCGCGAAATGACAGCTGTCACCTTATGTCAACTGGTGAAATACTTTTATCAATTGTACAACTACAAACAAATATGATGAGTTTTGCGGCAAATAGGTTGAGAAACTCTCGATTAATTGTAGAAAAATCAACAAAAACCCGGCGGATCCACCATTTATTTAAATTGATTGGTAACCTATTTATATAACCTACCCCTCTCTTCGCCTATATATTTTTTCTTGGTATCTTGAGAAGTAATTGTTGATCGAAAATAGTAGAAGATGTACATTTGGTAAGTGCAAGTTTTAGAGCAAGGTAATTTCATATTCGAATTTTCATCAAATCCATGCCACCCAACGCTATTTACTAACTAGTTTTATAGTGATCCATCATTTGTTTTTCTCTAATTTTTAATCTAATCTAATTAAATAAAAAAAAATAACTTTTACACAATGAAAAATATTAGTGTATTTATTCAATTGAATCTATTCTCTTTATCTGCATTGCATTGGATTGGAAAATTATTGTTGGTGGATTTACATAAGCCGCAGAGGACCAGAAATAATTAACAACAATAACCATCGGTATTGTACGTAATATCCAATTTCAGCGTTCGTTTTGTAACGAAAGGGAAACAAAAACATGCGTTGTTGTTGCGCCTAAAATGAATGAAAAAAATGCAAATTTCGTTTGGGACGTGTGCATTCCGCTCGTTCGATTGTTCACTACAAAATTTGCAGATGTAATTGCCCGACTACAAAGATCAAAATAAACTCGGCAAAAAGGTAAAAAAATCGATATCAAAAAAACAAAAACGAAACAAATGTGGACAATGATTGTCCTGTTGCGCGTTTTAATTAAAAAAAAAAACTTACATTTCAATTTTATATTTTCTATAACCGCAAAACAATACTTTTATTTGGTTTCAATAACAGAAAATTATTAAAAAAAATATGTATATTCAACTTTGATAATTTATTATAAGATAATTATAATCGTTATAGTTTCGTCTTTAATTTGCTTATTTTACGATCTAGTTAGTGGTTATAGAGTAATTAAATAAAACGTAATACATTAAAAATTCGCATTGTTTCATTACAATTTTGTACAAAATATTATTATCAAAGGAAATGCAATTATCATGTAATCTGAAAAATAAAAATTTTGTATTAAAAAATATCAATATCAAAACTTTGATATTTTATTATAATAATATGGTAAATTCCAATACAAATTTGGAAATGGAATAATTGGAAAAATATTTTTAAAAAAGTACTTTTTTGTTGTTTACAATATTGGTGGTAATTTGTTTTATTTTTATTGTGACAATGATGGTTTTCGTATGTAAATTCGCTGGTAATGCTTTAAGAATGCAGATGTAAAGATAGACACGTGAGTCAAATCCGGTTCATTTGATTCTCTTATATTCTCTAACAAGAGCAGTGATTCATATTCGGTGTGTGATTCATTTGAGAATACGTATAATATAAATACATTTCTGATAAACTGCTAGAAATTCTATCTTTTCACAGTTTAACCTATATATGTGACATGTCAATCGTGATGATGTCATACGTCAATCTTCATATCAAACGTCATTTAAAACTTAATGTCAAACGTCATATTCAATATAATATAAATATAGCAGAAAAATTGCTTGTAATTTCTATCTTTTTACAGTTTAACCTATATATGTGACATGTCAATCGTGATGATGTCATACGTCAATCTTCATATCAAACGTCATTTAAAACGTAATGTCAAACGTCTTATTCAATATAATATAAATACAGCAGATAAACTGCTTATACGTTCTATCTTTTCACAATTTAACCTATATATGTGACATATGTCAAATTAAATACCGAACAAAACGGATGTCATACGTCAATCTTCATATCAAAAGTCATATCCAACATCATGTCAAACGTCATATTCAATATAATATAAATACAGCAGATAAACTGCTTGTAATTTCTATCTTTTCATAGTTTAACTTATATATGTGACATGTGTCAATCTTCATATCAAACGACATATTCAATATAATATAAATACAGCAGATAAACTGCTTGTAATTTCTATCTTTTCACAGTTTAACCTATATATGGACATGTGTCAAATTAAATACCAAACGAAACGAATGTCATACGTCAATCTTCATATCAAACGTCATATCCAACATCATGTCAAACGTCATATCAAACATCATGGCAAACGTCATGTCAAAAGACATGTCAAACGTCATATCAAATGTTAGAGTTCAATTATAGATGATAAATGTTATTTTAATAGATTAAAGACAAGTTATTTGTCTAGTTTTTTTTGTTTTCTACTAATAATTAATAACATCGTTAATAGATTTTCTTTCAATTAAGTTTTACGTTGGGTGGTCTATTGGATTTGCATCTCAAGCTTGTATCTATTTAACCAATGGATTGACCGCTACACACACCATCAATGTTTAGAAACACACGAGTTAATGCATCATTTCCTCCCCTCTATCAATTCTCTATCTATATATATATAGTTTGTATCTCTCTTATTATTTATTTGTTTTAATTACGTAATTTTTTTAATAGTTATAGTTTTTTTTTCTTTGTTGTCTTTCTCCACATATATTTATTACGTAATCTGGATTTTCTTGCGGCTCGGTGTAACTTTTTGGCTTGTAGGTGTTAGACCTGCAGAGAGCCCTGCACGCGGAGCCCTCCACTTGCGAGCAGTCTTTACAACCAGCCGACACCAAAGTGAGTTTCATCCCACAAAAAAAAAATTAAATTTAAAAAAAAAAATCAACAACAAAATCAGAATTTATTAAAGAACCAGAACAAAAAAAAAAAATTAAAGTCAAATTATTTGTGTTTGTTTTAAGCTAATAACAATAATAACAATTCTATACAGAATTAGAAAGCTTTTATCTTTCTGTGTCTCTCTTTTCGCTTCTCTTCTTTCATTTACTTACACCTACACGTATTATATCTACACTGGCTTCAGTATAATTGTAAAGAATTAATTTAAAAAAAATAGTAATAATAATTACATACACCGAAAGTATTTCTGACGCGAACTTTTTCTCTCACCTTTTGTTACTTTTTTTTCATTTATTTAGTCTTTCTCTTACTTTCACTCTCACTCTCTGTAATTCTCTCTATCTCTTTCTCTATCCACTTTCAATTTGATTGGTAATATAAAAAGTCCATTTGTGCAAGTGTCGATTTGTAGGTGATAGAAATAAGACAAGCGTTCCGAGCGGAGAACGTTCCTAGTTGTTCTGCGACGAACGAACAACCAGCTCCAACTTTAGTAGACACGGTGGTGGTCGAAGTGAGTGCTAATTTTCCAATGAAATCATTACGTACGAAAACAAAAAAAAAACACAAAAATACAGAGTTCCACGAACACTATATTTTTCTTGTTTCCGTTACTTACTTAATTCTATTGTTGAAAAGAGCTGACGAACTTTTCTAATTTTTTTTGTTACTCGTTTTAAGTACTGTTTTTTTTTAATTATTGCTGTGTTTTGAAATTAAAACTAAAAAAGACAAAAAAATCGTACATCTTAATACGTTTTATCAATTATAAAAATGTATTAAGATTTACTTTCTTTTAAATCTTATTTACAAACGCACCTTTCTTGGCTTTAACGCACAATTTGTTTCATGCACTAATCCAGTTAAGATTAATTAGAGATGCAAATATTCAATTATAAAATTACCCGGCGCATCCACAGAAAATATCCTAATTTGGGTTGAATAAACCTCATCGAAGTGACTTAAATCATTTAAAACGTCAAAATGACAGTTATTGCTAACGTAAAACCGAAACTATAGCAAGTAACCATGGTAACAATAACTCTTGTTTCTAACTTTCAATTGTTTTCTTAGGAACAGTTGTATCTATTGAGGTTAAACGTGTAACGTCAAATTAAAGAAAATCATTGTTATCACAAGTTACCATGGATACAATAACTCTTGATAATAGGATTATCAAGTAACGTTACAAATTGATTATGATACTGCGTCTCTATTTAAAAGTTTTGGATGTGCAAAATAATTTATTTCGTAATTTTTTCTCAAAAAAAATTTAAATGTTAATGTATTTAAATTTAATCTGTGCTTGCGTTTATTACAATTATTATTCATATAGTTTAGTTTTTTTTTTGTTTTTTTTTTTTATGTGTGCGCCGCTTCGGCAAGCCTGGAACGTGTGCGCTTCCTGTCTGATAACCATGTTTCCATTTCCGTGAACCCGGAAGAGTTCGTTCCCGGAAACGGAAACGCGCCTCCATCTCGTTTCACGTACACACACTAACTGATTTTTTTTTTCAAAATCTTTGTTTTATCTTTGTTTGTAAACTAATATAAATATAGGAAAGAGGACCGTTTCTTGATTGTTCTCATTCATCGCTCAATCAATGATTTAGTGCTATTAGAACTAAACAATAAGGAAGAAGTTCATTCATTATTTGTGTTTCGGAATGGTTTTACAACTAGAATCGATCTAGGACATCTAGTGTTGAATTATTATTTTTTATTTAAATAGAAGGCTTTATGAATTTATTTACAAAAAAAAAATGCAGGCATTGGAAGGTTTATCTAAAAGGAATTATGTGAAAAAGATTTGTGCTTATTTTTAAATTTTGATTTTTTTTTTCTTTGACTTAATTAATTACTGTTTCTTCTTTTTTTTTGTGTTTTGGTAATACTGCCCATAGGGAATTGTTTTATTTTTGTTGGTATTAATTCGCTTTTACGCTTTGGTTTCTCTTTGTTTTCTCCTCCTCTCGCCTGTTTCTGTGATCCAGAACAAGGTAACGGAAAAGTTCAAGAGGCCCTTCAAGAAGCGACATTCCAGCGTTTACCATCAACCGTCGAACAGGGTGAACAAGTATCTGGCGCAGGCGATCGAAGCCCGAAGCGTGGACCGGGAGAAGTCCAACCATGTGAATCTTCTGACGCTCTGCTTCAAGGACAGCTCCAAGGAGAATCAGGTTTCTTGATCGAAAGATCTAAGCCTTTGTTTTGCCAAGTCAGATTACTTCACTTGGTGGAATTTAGGCTTTAATTTATCTTGTGGGAAGTAGTATTAATATATTTGTTTTTATTTTAGTATCACGATGATGTGGATGTCGGTTACAGTTCCTCACTGGCGTGCGCTTTAGCCCTATTGATGTTGTTAGGAGCGCTTCAAGCGGCTGTGTTACCACGAACTATAATCCTTCTGCTGTTATTCTTGACCGCCTTCGTCTGGATTTCCGTGGTTTTGATGCTCTTGCTTGCTGTTAGACTTCGACTCATCCTATGGGATATCTCGCAGAGCTTCGTTCTCAGGTTGGCCATCACCGTTTTCACGATAGTCCTCGTGTACACCGTGGCCCAAGTCAATGTGGTAATTTGCTTAATTATTATAAACAAATAGCAAGTATTAAGTCCAACTTTTAACAGTTCACTTGCCGCTCCGATATACCGTGCATTATTCACTCGACGAACAACATAACGCTTGATGGTGGTACTACGGAACGTGATCACAGGGCTTGTCCTCTACCGCAGTACATCGTCTTATCCTGCGCTTTGGGTTATTTAGCTGTAGCTTTATTCCTGCGGTTACCAATACTTCTGAAGTCTTCGCTGCTCATAATCATGTCCACGGTTTACATACTGTTAATCGAGTTGTCGCACATCGATCTTTTCATGTGTTACGATCTGCGGGTCAAGTGAGTTCAAGCACAAAGCTTCTGTAGTGTTTCGTATTTATTTCTGTGTTCGTATTCGCAGCTCGATTATTCCGGCTCATGTGTTGAGCGTGGTGCAGGTACTGATGTTCGTTTTGGCTGTCCTCTTGCACGGAAGACAAGTGGAATGGACTGCTCGATTGGATTTCCTCTGGCAGATCCAGGCCAACGAGGAGAAGCGCGAGATGGACGCTCTGCAGCACTCCAACAAGAGGATCCTCTTCAACTTGCTGCCGGCCCACGTGGCCACCCACTTCCTCGACAACCAATTCAGAAATAACATGGTACGTTTCGCATGACCGCATCGTGTAGCCTTTTATGTCTTCTCTATCACGTTGTTTGTACTTTATATTTATTTAAGTTATACTATTTAGCGAACGCACTCTTCTCTCTGTCGTTGACCGCAATTTAGAAAAGCACTCTCTTCGTATTTGTATCTATATATATATTATATCTTTCAACTTTTTTCTTTCGTCACTGCGAGATTGATGTTGTTGGATGTGTCATAAAAGGCTGCAGGCGTTAAGAATTCATCCCATGAACATTCTATTACAGAATACTCTATCGCAGGAACTCTATCACCAGAGTTATTCGAGAGTAGGTGTAGTGTTCGCGTCTATTACGAATTACCACGAGTTTTATACGGAACTCGATGGTAACAATCAGGGCGTCGAATGTCTCAGGCTTCTGAACGAGATCATAGCAGATTTCGATGATCTCCTAAGCGAGGAACGTTTCAAGGCCATCGATAAGATCAAAACCGTCGGATCTACGTATATGGCCGCAGTCGGTTTGATGCCGGATCTAAGAATCCTGGATGACGATGAGAGCACCGCAGGAATTCATCTTAGCACTTTGGTAGAGTTTGTCTTCGCGATGCGCGATCGTTTGCTCAACATCAACGAGAACAGCTACAACAACTTTATGCTACGCGTAGGTCAGTATTAAAGTAATATTAACATTTCGAACATATTGTACTGATATTTTTTGGCATCTTCAAGGTATTAACATCGGTCCAGTCGTTGCTGGAGTTATAGGAGCGAGGAAACCTCAGTACGACATCTGGGGCAACACTGTGAACGTGGCCAGTCGCATGGACTCCACCGGTCTTCCGAACCATACGCAGGTAACCGAAGAGGTCTTCCAAGTCCTGAAGACATATCCTTACGAGTTCCAATGTCGCGGTAAGGTCAAGGTTAAGGGCAAAGGAGATATGACCACGTACTTCCTCATCGACCGTAAACAACCGGGCACGTTACGCGTCGAAGAGCTGAACAACTTCCGGAGCGGAACGAACGGCACGCCAAATCCGAATCCGATCGGTGAGTTGACCTCTAACGTCTGCACATTGCAATTTCATTGGTCGTTTCTTTTATTTTGATTTATTCCAGACACCACAGTTTTCGGTTAGACTTTCAAAACAAAACAAAAAAAAAACAATACAAAACAAAATATATATACAGTCACAACAGAAATATATTTATATAATATAGTTTATTTATTTTATTTTGCACTTTTTTTTCTAGTAAGTAATATTTCAAGTACACTCGTATAAACAAATTAGTTTAGTCTATTTTTGCATAGTTTAGAGCTGTTTTTCGTTTCTTCTCCCTTTTTATTTTCATTGTTTTGTTTGTGTTCCTCGCATTCTCATCTCGGACTTTCTCATGTGTCTAAATCGTTTCTCCAAATACTACAGTACTAACCGAAATTTGTGTTTAATTGATTTATAGTTTTTTTTTAAGCTTTTAATTAATTACATTATCTTCAAGGTTGTGCGAATGATTCCTAATTGCGTTACTAATATGTATTTTTAATTATTTGTGGTTCATTCGCTCAACTTTGGGGTTTTTAATTGCAGTCAAACTTTTGTAATGTATGATGCGATGTGTTTTTTTTTATGATTATGTTGGAACGTTTTGTTTTAGCTGTGAATAATATGTATGGGGGTGTACCGACTCCTCTGGCTCTTCTCCATGGTGATAATAGCGGTGGAAGGAAGGTGTTGCAGAGCAGAGCCAGTTCCAGGGAGGAGAGCGGCATCAGGATTGCGATGAGATTGCCACCGCTGCGGGAGACGTGCCATAGGGAAATGATGAATATCGGGTGCGAAAACGAACCCCTCCTTCCGGTGCCCTGTAAATCGAATAGGATTGTGAAAAAGCATGAGGAGACGATCGTCACCACTTCGGCGGTGGCGGCGGCGGCGGCTGCGACGACAACCACGGCGGCGGCTGTTGCACCACCTCTGCCTCCGCACAAGATGCTGTACCCACGGCAGATTGACATGAAGTACACGCCGCCGTGGCCACGCGGTCCGCCGAACCCATACTCATCCCTGAACTCTCAACTCCCTAGGATCGTAGATAATGTGAATAAACCTTATTTGAAACCTCTACCAAAGCCACCAGGCAAAGAGTCTCCAAGTAGACATCGCAAGAACCTCTCAGCCACCAGCATCCAGTTGACCCATAGTTCTAATGTCGCGCCCCCGAAACCCCCGACCCCAGAAAGAACGCCCGAGATGCGCAGCAAACTGCAAACCAGGCACAACCCTCTGCCGCATAGGCACAGTCCTCTGAGGACGAGGAGTCCTCACCACAGCAGACACAGCCCTCTGCATAGACATTACTCTGATGAGAGCTTAGGCGGCATGTATCCTCCGAGCGCTCCTCAAAGGATTCACAGCTCTGCCGATGAGATAAGCTCTCTGAACCATTCACCAAGCATCAGCAGTTCTGATGAAAGCTACAGTCGGACGACGGACGCCGACGCTTCTCCCTGTGTATCCCCGCCTCTCCCCGTAACCGACGCCCAGCTGTTCATCTTCCCATCCGATGTCCAAGTGAATCCCTGCTCATCACCTGAAACATCTCCGCGCGCCTCTTTAGACTACATCCCACCCAACTGCTCTCTCCGCAACAACTCGACAGACAGAAACGGAAAACGCAACAATTTACCACCTGGAGCCGTGCTAGCGATTGCAGGCACCTGCAACACGGTGGACTCATCGATAGTTACGAGTCCACCAGTTTTGGATGGCGACGAGAGTTGCAAGGGCGAAAGCTGCGCTAGCTTCGAATTCCTCACGAGACCCGGAAAGAAACCCAACTGCCTGATCCGCCAAAACACCGCGAACGGTGTAGCCATCAAGAAGCAGAAGAGCTTAGAGAAGCGACCCAGGAACGACAGCGATTCCATACTCGAGTGCAACAAGATGTCGGCGATTTGCAAACGCTCGCCCAGCTTCAAGGAAGCCGAAGAGATGCGCGACTTCCTCAACGACGAGATGAATAAGTACGCAAGCAGCGAGAAGAGCTCCAAAAAGGATGGTTGCTGCCAAACGGACAAGAAGGATATAAGGAGACTGCGATCCTCGCCCAACGGTCGCGACAAACTTTCGCCCAACTTGAAGTTGAACAACACCGAAGAGATCGGTCCGTTCGAGCGCGAGATTCAGAAGCTCCTGGACGAGCAGAATCTGCTCCAGAATATCCCGCCGAAGCTGGAGATCACGCAAACGAGCAAAGACATTTGCTTGGAACCGTTAGTAAGGTATAACAACAACCATCAGGTTGGACTAGCTGCGATACAAGCGCTGGCGTTGGGATTGCGGGTTAACCCCACGGGGAGCGTAACCTTACAGTGCATGACCACCCCTTCTATAGTAAGCAGCAAGGAGGGATCGCTAAAAAGGGGGCCTTCGCCACCCGGACCTTCACAGAGCTGTAAACTGCAAAAAGTTTCACCTCTCGACAGGTATATTATTACCAGTAACATAGCATCACAAAACTCAAAATTCAAATCTAACAACAAAAAAAAAACTAAAGAAAACACCTAACACTTTCTCTTAACCAATCAATAATGTGTATGTACAAGAGACTACTAATATTCGTAGCGGTGCATGATGGTTTATGTTTCAATCGGAAAAGTCATTTACGAGCTTCTGATCTAACACGCTATTAACAAATTATTAAAACATTGATTATTATACTCCATGCTGCTTGCTAGAGCACATCACGCTTGCATAGTTCGTAGCTAATCCATCTCATTGTAATGAACCGAAAATTTAATTAACAATTAATTAATACTAAAACCAGGTAAACCCAACTTGATACTTTATATTCCATACAAAGCGATGTCTTCGGCGAAATTAATTACACAACCTTAACACACACGCCGACGACAACGCTTCGAACATTCTTAATCATCCATTCATTCCATTCAAAGCTATATACCTATGATTTTCTAATACATATAAAATAATATTTGTTTATTGATTGCTGAAAATCTAACAGAAGTCCGAATCAAAAGACTGACGAAGAAATGGATGGCGAATGCGAGGATTGCGTTATGCTGGAACCAAGGTTGGACGATGACACGGACATCGAAAGCTTCGAAAGGGCGGAAAGGCTCATGGAAGAGGAACATGTAAATAATTCTTTTTTTATATATATCTATTTTAACTCTTGATTAATGGTAAACGATTTTGTGGTTACTGCAGCCTATTGATAAGGAATTGGTAAAGAGTTAACTTTCTACTTAATTTGATGGTAAATTAATATTATTGGTTGGTTTATAGGAGGAAGAGGTGAAAAGGTTGCTCGAGGAAAAGGTACAGGAAAAGTTGAGGAATTTGGAATTGGACAGGCAGCTCGGGCCGGCGGAGGTGAGCCAATCGGAATGGAGCGAAGATGAGGAAGGCGGAGCTTCGGAACCGCTCCTCAACGATCGCGAATCCACTGGATACACGACGGATGATCCAGCTCTGGAGAACATCTCGATGTTAAACGAAACGGGTTTAACGGATGCTGAAGGTATTTAATACACTTTTTTTTTTCAATGATTGGTTATTTATTGATTGATTTTTTTTTGTTTTAGGTGCGTTGAGTGACGTGAATTCTGCTTACAATGACCACAACCACGAGGGCGACATGGACGACAACACGAGCATGTCCTCGAGGGCTTCGTCGCGCATCTTCGACTCCGATGCGATGATGTCCCTCGACTCCCTAAGTGCCCTTTACGATTCCGAATACGACAACTGTTACCGCACCGACGACGACCTCAACGCGATGCCCGACCTGGACAGACTGAACTACTTCTCGGGGCCGGCGAACGAAGTGCATCTAGCCAACATCAGGTCGATGAGCGAGAGCATAACGAGGAATTTCGGTCAGCCGCGCAGCGAGACGGACCCGGACAGCGACGTTTGAACACATATCCCTTGTACATCACTTGTCCTCAACCAAGGACATTGATTACATTCGATTACCATATATTAGAATGCAGTTCCGATTACCGTTTTGCGTTTCCTGAAAGCACAGAAACCATATAGTTTCACTCTCCACCCCTTTTCATCAAAAAAAAAATGAAAAATGTAACTATTTGCGTGCAATACTTTAATTAAGCGAAAGATTTTTTTTATTAGTGCAAATAATATTATGATTAAAGCAGCCTTAATACATCTTTTTGGAGGACGTCATTAACGATTTGGTTTCTATGGGAACAAGAAACTTTCAGTAGTTTGCTGCTTCGTCGGACGTTGAATCCATTTGTTTTTATTTTATTATTTAAACTAAACTAAATAAGAAGGTATAAATATATATATAAAAAAAAGTTAGATTTTTTAATTGTATTATATTATATATATATATGAAGAAAATTAAAATACTTAGCGATTTATTAACTATTATTATAAACACGTACGTACGGACTTTTGGTAGAGATATTTATACGAAAGGAAATAATTGCTGGGCATCTCTCATATTCTAATGGTATATATTAAAATAAAAATATGAAGATCTGGAAGTGATCGAAGCAACCACATATACTGGTAGAGGCGATCAAGATCGGATTATATATAAATTTATATATATATTAAAAAAAAAAGTACACGAAATGAAGAGGAAATTTCGTACAGTGCCTGTTTTTTGTTTGTTTGTTTTATTTCGATTAACTTGTACTTATTTGAGGTTTTCAATCCTTGAAACTTAACTCAGAAAAAGGGGGACGAAGAAGAAGCAACCAAAGATGTGCTATATAATTAATTAATTGCAATATTTACTACGATTTCCAACGTTTATTTGTATTTATATTATTTGTTTCGAGAGGGAAGCGTAGCAATAATCTCGCCAATAATGCAAACTAATCGTACTCGTTACCATGGATATTCAATTTAGCAGTGGGCCAATACCCCAAGTCGTATTTTGTTTCGTTCTATTGATGTGATTAATTTGTACATATTTAATTTTTAATAATTTTCAACTAACTTGATTATTTTTTTTTAATTATTATTGTTTTTTTTATATATATATATTACAAATTGTTTGTTTTTTTTTTAATATTATTATTATTATGATACAATTCGTTCAGAAAGGAAGAACTAAATTTTGATACGTATACAGGGTGTTTGGAATTTATCTTGCATGAATATTCTAAGAGATTTTGATTAGAGCGTATTTAAATTTGTGTTTCTTCGTAATAAGATGGATTGATTTAAAAGATCATTAACGCACGTTCATCTAGCAATAGTTTTAACCAAGAAGCCGTCGGCCGATTCCAGCCAATTTTACTCATCACCGAAATTGAATTGAAATTTAAACTGCGAAATTTAACTCGCGCTCAAATTCAATATTTTCTACTGATTCTTTATGGGGGATTATAATGCAACGCCGAAAAAAACAACACAAGATGGAAAGAAACACACAAATATCCTCCCTGTATATTCGTGTATATAAATGTTTCACTGTGATCACTAAATGTTATTATTACTATTATGATTATCCTTATTTTATACAAATCTTAAGTATGTCTATCATCTTACTGTATAAGCCATGTAATTTAGGACATAATGCCATTCAATTGAAGTATCCCAATTTAACAGTTTAACTCTCATTCATGTAGCTACTAAATACGTTAATTTCGTTAACTATATCGATTCACTTGTGTAAAGAAGATATAAAAAATAAATAAATAAAAAAACTATATATTATAATTCTAACTGCGTCGATCGTACGTTAAATAATTTATATAAATATATTATTAATTATGTAAATAATCCGAGTTATATAAGATTCACATGAATTGTATTTTTAATTAACTGATTAATCCGATCTTGATGTTATACGATATATAAAATGAAACCTATTGTTGTTGTTCTCTTTGTTCCTCCACCTCGAATTCATCCCAAATGTCTTTCATTGCATTCATTTTTCATCAACTTCCAAACTTTTTTAATCATTTACGCTGTACAATGATTCCTATTCTTCAATAAATAAATAATCCGTAATTAAATTTACTGATTTTCTTTCTTTTAAATCATATTGTAATTAAACTACTAAAAGTATTTTTCGATGTCTTTATCTTAATTTAAATTACTCGACAACAACGCAAGCTAAATAGATTATGTTACATTCAAATTAATGATAAAAAAATAGTTCTGATATTTGCCCAGTCTTAATAAATCATTCAGAACTTTGTTGGTAATGACCTCACAATTTAAAAGATATAAATTATTTATTGTGTAATTAAAACCGAGCATCTTGCCTAAATTTCATTCACAATTAAGGCCCTTATGCAGAGTTTCATGGTAAAATTCGTTATATAACCAATGTAACGCATTTATAACGCTATTGTTACTCAATATATAGATTTTCATTACTTTAGATTATTTATATATCCAAGGAAGTAAAAACATGAAAAATTATAATTGATAATAAATAATATTTATGTATTCTATAAAATTCATTAATACATAATTATCAAGAAAAAACATTAATTGGATTGAGAATGAAATTAAAATGCTTAATTTTAATAACTTATAGTAGATGTACTGACCAAATCACAATGCCAGAGGTTAACTTATTGTAAATGTTGTAGTTTTCTCTTTATTTTGCGTATTCGATGGTTTAATTAGCACTAGTGGTAATCGATTAATTTAAAAAACGTGAAGGTGTTGCATAAAATTGAAAAATTAGTTAAATAAATGGTTATATTCATATATATTTGAAAATTTTAATTTACAGATCTAAAGAATGATTCTTTCGCTTTCATATGCTATAAAATACATTAGTTTTGGTCAATTAATAAGAAAGTTATTAAGCTTTAATGAGTTGGCGGTTTTCGCGATTCAAAACGCAAGTCCCCCCACCTTGATTCACGAAAATGCCAGAAATTTTCAATTTGTACCAGGAGACCATAAGTAGCGAGGAGGTATCTGAGCTCCTGGCATCGGTCGTTCCTGATTGGTTGTAATTTGAAATTTTGAAATTTACGTTTGTGTGAGTGAGCGAACTGTCATTGTGACAGTTGTTACAGTCACAAGTTAAATTTAATGGTCTTTATTGGATTTCCTGTTTATTCTAAATTGTTCTGAATGCAAATTTAATGAACAACATGCTCCATTGCTTGCTTATTCTATTTCCTTGTATAGAAAACCTTTCTCTGAACTTCACATCTCACTTCGGGCAAGTACCAGTGGAACATGTAAACAACCATCGATCACTAATGTTCTTTGTCTTTAGAAATCATACAACAGAAACTGCAGCTAACTAGGGACAATTCTTTTTACAACAAACATACTGAATCAGTATCTTCATATAAGAATGTGCATTAATCATTAATAGACAAAAGGTAAATAGTCAACTTGTAAACAATCGTTGCTACAATTGTTATTATTTTAGGTGGAGCTGATAGCAACATGCCTCTAATGTATAGTTGACGACCTTAAGTACTTCAGAAAGTGGAAAGCATTATTTACTAGCAGTTTTTATTTGCAAATAGTGGATACCTTAACTGCTGAATGTGACCAAAAATATTACTTCATTACGGAGATGGATAACAACTATGATCCCTGTAGTACCCATGATTCTATTGTAGCTTCTTACATGATCCTTAGAGACCGGATAACATTTCTGAATAATAGATTCATTGAAAATACTGGAAAAACAAAAATGTTAATATACATCAAATCTCAAGAATGAGACTAAAAGTATTTTATATAACTATCAATCTTTATTTTTTCATTTATTTTAATTTCTGTATATTTTACATCAACATTCATGTTCAACATGTTTCTAGAAGCAAGTGAAAACGTTTTCCAAACTATCTAATACCAATGTTTGAAAATTAATTGTGACTATGCTATGGTAGCTACAAACATGTATTAATGCTTATTTTAATCTCTGTATATTTTAGTTCAACAGTCGTACTCAAAATTTTTCTAAGAAAAGGCTCCCATTCTTATGAAAATACAGTTCATAATCTAAGACTATGTTTTCCACACTGTCAAATAACAAAGTTTGATAATTGTGACTAAACTATGAGAGGTATAAACATATTTTTACGTTTATTTTAATCTTTGTATATTCAAGATCAATATTCATGTTCAACATTCTTCTACAAGCATGGGTTTACAAAAATACAGGTCATTTTCGAAATCGTTGTTTTCCAATCTGTCTAATACTAAAGTTTGATAATCAATTGTGATGAAGCCATGGCAGCTGATGGCAGCAACAAACCTGTATTTACACTCATTTTAATCTATATTTAAGATCAAAATTAATGTCCAAAATTCTCATGAGAGTTGGTGCATACAGAATTCCGTCCATTTTCGAAAACGTTATTTTCCCAACTTATTTGTGAAATACCAAAGTTTGTTAACCAATTATGAAGACACCATTGCTGCTACAAATTAATATTAGCGCTCATTTTAATCCCTGTATATTCAAGACTGATATCCATCTATAACATTCTTCTGGGAGCTCATGTTTACGAAAATACAGTCCATTATCTAAGACGTTGTTCACCTGTTCATCAAAATTTATATGTATGTTTGGTTGCTTGCACTTTAGGCGCAAAATCAATATTTAATTTTTGTGATAGCCGACGTCATCTGTTAGCAATGTTTCAAATCTTGTAGTTCAGGCGTTTTGGCGCTGCATAAAACCCACTTCCTTGAAAACGTTCTAATTTTAATAAATAAATATATCAGAATAGTGCTTGAGCGATTGTTATATTACTACTTCAGTCTAAAAATTTAAATACTAATTACTTTTCGAGTTATAGGCATTTTCATTATGACAATCAGAGACATCTGTCGGAATTTTGAGGAAATATTCTGTAACAGGCAAGCGTCGAGTATATTTGGCTGCATACCACTTGCAACTATTTTTATTAACTTTCCATTATGTGCTGAAATTCAGCAATAATAATTGAATTTTTTGACATGTATATATTTACTCAACACTGATACCAACTTTTGATTTTAATTAAAAAAAATTATGTATTACATCATAACAAAATATTGGATTTATATTTAAGATTATAAAAATATATGTAGTGATTTGTAATCAATACAATACATTAGTCGTTCGGCAGATGTTTCCAATGTTACTCATTGCTGAAGGGCGTTGATCAATATGTTTTATCAGGATTTATACACCGGAAGTCGCAGTAGGCGACTCGGATCCCATTAGGAATTGGAAATGGTCGAGGTGAAGGAAGGAAGAACACTGGAAGTTTATGGTCACACACACACACACATGGTGTATTCCACTCAAAATAGTATCAAATTTCGGACCAAGAGGAAAAGCAGAAG